GTCCTCTGAGACTGCAGGTCCTGAAAAACACAATGAGTGGGAAAGAAGGTTATGCTACAGTTCATGGACTTTGTTAAGCTACTAACAGATAAAAGGTTTGTGTTAAGCTTAGGAACATGGAGAACAGAAGATAAGAACAAGGTGTCAAAGGTCTTTATATCTCCTTTACTAGAGATGGGGGCAAGTGACCCATCGGCAAGGGATATTTTCTCTTTCCCAGAGAGAAGATGGTATGAACAAAAAAGGTTAGATAGGCTGGTCATATGGTATGATGCACCGGAATCTATAATCCAAGGGAGTTTATGACTACCTGAAACTGAAGCATGATTTGCTGAGGCATATGTACCTGAGTGAGCAAAAGCCGATGAAGAGGATGTAYTGTTGGAAGGGTGGGCTGAAGAAACTGTAGCTTCCAGGTGATTTAGGAGCCTCCCATACTTCTCAAAGTCTAACTTCATTGCAGCCAACTGCTCAATGGTTGATGTTTTCTCACTCTCCTCACTTCCCCCTTCAGGTACTGTAGCAGCATTAGCAATCTTGAGTTTTCCCGCTTGACTGCCCTTCTTAGGATTGTTCCTAAACCTCTCAGGGAGTAGTCCAGGGTGAAGTTTCCAGCAGGTGTCCTTGGTATGTCGTGATTTCTTGCAATATTCACACACCTGCTCCCCCTTTTCAGTAGGCCCCTTAGATTTCATTCCTGCATGTGCAAAGTGTTCTGTAGGTGGACTCTGCAACTGAACTTGTCGTCTACTTTCCTCACTACTTATCATGGCATATGCCCTGTGATAGAGTAACCTCATCTCTGGCCAAAATATTTTGTCTGATAATATTAAACTCAGGGTTGAGTCCAGTGAGAAACTCGAACACCCTATTTCTCTCCACCAGCTTTCTGTACATTTCAGCATCCTTTTTACTCTCCCATACCACAGTTTCCATAACATCAATTTCCTACCATAGGGATTTTAGTATAGAGTAGTAGATTSCTACACTCTTCTCCCCCTGTCTYAGGTTCTTCACATCACTTTTCAATTTGTACGCTCGGGCTACATTCAGTTTCTGTGAACAAGTCTCAGTTACACTGTCTCATATCTCCTTAGCAGAAGACATTCAGAGATAGTGCTGGCTTACATGAGGTTGCATAGAGTTAACTAACCATCCTATAATGGTATAGTTATCTTGCATCCATCTCTCAAATTCAGGATCTGTCTCTTCGGGTTTCACCTTACTGCCTGTGAGATACCCAAGTTTTCCTCTACTACAAACATAAATTTTTATAGACTGTGCCCAGGCAAGATAGTTCGTCCCATCTAGCTTAATCGTGGTAACACCAGTCAAAAYGRAATMTACTRGAGYAGGTCCAGAAACCGGCACCTGCTTGAACTCACTTCCGTATGTCTYCATTAATSAAACGGAAATCAAAGAACTGAAATTTTAACTATGCAAACTTACTTGAAATCAAACCAGAAATAGGGTGCTTGAAAAACTAGGGTTTTGCTCCGTCCAACAGATGAGAGGAAGAGAGAAGATGGTGCCGCACCAACCAGACTGACCCAAACTCTTCCTAACCTGAACCGCCTCCTTTAGCAGTCACAAGACACCTTCCAAGCACAGAGTACCACACCCAAGCTTCACCTTTCCTGGTAACCTCGAAAATCTCTAGTTGGGTAGGGTATTCGGGCAGCAGCAAAACAGCATCACTTCTTGGCAAAATTCGGCCAGAACTTAAATCTCCAAACCCTTCTACCAACTGGGCAAGTGATTCTCTATACTATAGAGAACCTATCTCTCCATACACTCT